AGCTCTCAGCTGCTCTGGCACTGCTCTCAGGCACTGCAGGGCTCTGGGCTCTCAGGGATGCTCCCAGGTTTCCCTGGAAGCTCTCAGCTGCTCTGTTGCAGGACTCGTGCGTGCGGCAGGCGCTGCGCTGCCGCCGCCTGACGCGGCTCATCACACTCCAGCTGCACTTCCTGGGCTCAGGGCAGAGCACCAGGATCATCAACCTGGGCAGGCAGGACCTGCCAGGGGCCATCCTGGCCTTGCCCAGGTTCTACCAGGTGAGCTGGGCTCCCTCGGGGCCCTCCTGTCGGGAACAACTTGGGCACTGCAGCTCCTTCTCCTGGCCTCAGACCCTGTGGCTGTTAGCCTGACCTTATATCCTGTGGGATACATGGGATGGAGGGACAGGACCCAGGGAATGGCTCCCACTGCCAGAGGGCAGGGATGGATGGGAAACTGGGAATCAGGAATTGCTCCTGGGAGGGTGGTGGAGCCCCGGCACAGGTGCCCAGAGCAGCTGTGGCTGCCCCTGGATCCCTGGCAGTGCCCAAGGCCAGGCTGGATGGGGCTTGGGACAGCCTGGGCTGGTGGAAGTGTCCCTGTTTAGGGGCTGAGAAAGGTTGTTCACAGTGCTTTGCTACCCTGTATTTCACAGCTGCTCTCAAGAACAGCAGCAAGGGGTGGGTCGAACAGTAGCGAGTTCTGGGTGTGCAATGTTGTGTGCAATGAGTTCTCAGTGTGGAATGTCGTGTGCCATCCCCTCTCCCTGACCCTGCTCTCCCTGCAGGCAGCCATCGTGGCCGAGGCCTACGAGTTCCTGCCGGACTGGGCCGAGGTTCTGTTCCAGCAGGTGATCACCAGGGGTGACTTCGTGTACCTGGAGGAGTTCAGGCAGCAGCGGCCGCTGCAGCCCGGCCTGTTCGAGGAGGTGGCCAAGAAGTGAGTGGGGCTCTGCAGCTTCAGCTGCACAGGGCCCTGAGAGGGGCAGCAGCAAAGGGTTAAACTGTGCAGCCTGTAAGGGGGGCTTGAGATGGAATTCTAGAAGGGTTTGGGTGGGAAGGGACCTTAAAGCCCATCCAGTGCCACCGTTGCCATGGCAGGGACACCTCCCACTGTCCCAGGCTGCCCCAAGCCCTGTCCAGCCTGGCCCTGGGCACTGCCAGGGATCCAGGGGCAGCCACAGCTGCTCTGGGCACCTGTGCCAGGGCCTCACCCCCTCCCAGGGAAGGATTTGTTGGTAGCCTTGGTTCTTGGCACAGCATGGAAGTCGCTCTGATCCAGCCTTGTCCTTGAGCTGGACAAGGAGGGAGCTCGGGGCTGGGCAGAGCAAATCCTTGAAATGAATCAGAGCAAATAAAGAACCAGGAGATTCACGTGTAGGTGCTGAGTACGACCTCCTGTTGAAATGTCATTCCTGCAGGCCCAGAGCAAGAGTCTCAGGGCCCTGGGAAGCTCCTGTGTCTCAGTTCTGTGTCTCAGTTCCACGTGCCTCTGTTGCAGGGTCAAACAGCAGCCCCCGGCTGATGCTGCCCTGAGGAACCTGAAGCGGTTCCTCACCCACTGTGAGGACATCTACACCTACTACAGGCTGGCCTACGAGCACAAGTTCTATGACGTGGTGAACTCCCTGCTGAAGGACCCTCAGACTGGCTGCTGCCTCAACGACCTCTTATCCACCTGAGTTCCAGCCCAGAGCACAGACTGCAGGGTCACTGCTGATTTACACAGATTTGATCCATGGCCTGCTCACAGGGCTCTGCTGCTCTGTAAAAATTACTCCAGAAAACTGCACAAGGTTGTAAGTAGTTAAATGCTGACTGTGGCAACCTAACATTGTGTTTTGTATAATAAATCTTACTGTTTCTAAATTACTCGAGTCACCAGCAAACACTGACTTGCCCAGGTGGGGGGTAAAGCAGAGATCCAGCAGCCCTCTAACTTAGGGGCAAGAGGGAGGGAGCAGCCCAGGAATTGTATCCAGAGGCTGAAACAGGTGCAGAATGTGCAGGCAAAGGCAGTGGAATAAGCAGGATCACTGCAGGTTTCAGGTACCCAACACAATAATGTCTTCTTTGAGTCCAGTCTGATCTCTAAAATCTTCTACAGCCTTAAACAGCCCATTCCTAATTCTGCTGTCTTGGAGTCAAAGAAATAATCAAGTGCAAATATATTTTTACAGTTATTAAATATGAATTCCTTTTCAGGCCCAGGCCATGGGCACACTCCCAGCACAGCTCAGCTTTGCAATTCTCCCTCTTCAGGTATTTTTCCTGTCAGGGCCCAAAATGCTCCAAGGCCAGCCTGGTGAAGTCCTCAATAGTGATTTTTATTAAATTAGTTGCTTTATAAAACATTGCAGATGTTGTAATTGTTAACATAACAATTTGCCCAACTGTAGGAACTGCTGCAGTTTGCTAAGCAAGTTTGGTTTTTAATGAAAGAAAACAGCTGAGTCGTGAGAGACCCACCACAACCCAGGAGAGCCCCAAGGAAGTCATGTGGCTTGGTTTTTTCTTTTACACTTAACCCCTTAATTAACTGTTAAAGAACACCCAACCCAGACAGCTGCATTAGTAGAAATTTAAATGAATGGAACTAAATAAACTTCATCCTTGAGACACAAGTGGGTTTTGCCTTGCTCTGCCCCACCAGGTGCTGTGCAGGTGTCAGGCCCTGGAGCAGCGGCTGTCCCGGGGGACAGGCTCCCAGGTGCAGTATTCCACACTGAAGTTAGCAGTTCCCCTCCCAAAATACTGAAATCCTCAAGCTCTTAAGTCAAGACAAAGCGACTGGAACTCTACGTGCACACCCTGCCCTTGCTGCAAACTGCTCTTGCTCAGCCCTGGCCCTGGAGCAGGGACAGTTAAGGCCATGTCATGGAGCTGTGCTGGTTATAATCCTTCACCTTGTTCCAATTCCTTCCCGATTTAGTGGCTGTTGCTATGAATAGCAGCAGTGCCCATTAGCAGGATTTTGGGTTTTTAACTGCAATTTACAGACCATTTCCATTCTACCCCTGCCCGGAGCTTCCGCCCGGACCCGGCACCTCCAGCCCCCAGCACACAGATACTGCAATTCTGATTGTAGCATTTGGCAGAATTTAGAGGAAGAAAGGTTGTGCTACATGTTTAAGGGATTATGGGCAACAGAAAGACAACAGAAGGGAGATAAATGTCACATGAAGTCTTCAAAGTCTTGTACGTACTCGCCGTCGTAGCCGCCGTAGTCAGCCAGGTCGTCTTTCATCGTCGCCTTCAGCCCCCCGCCAGGCACAACCCCTTTTTTCTTCTTTTTGGCTTTATTCTGTGCAAGAGGATGAGGCTGGTTACTGGACAGGCCCAGAGCTCTGGCATTAGCCCAGCCAGGCTCAGCCCAGTGGCACTGAGCAGTCACAGCCCCTGTGGCCCTGCCCGTGGTTTCCACCCCACACGTCTTCCTAGGAAAGCTGTGACAGTTCCAGGTGTCCCCAGCTCCCTGCACCACAGCCCTGTCCCCCTTTGCCTTTCATCCTATTTCCCCTGGACTCTCAACAAGTAATTAATAAATGCAGGGGAGTCCCAAGCAGGGGCCGTGATCCCTGAGGAACAGCCCCAGTCTTACCTTCTCTTGTTTTTGTTTTTCACTGCATAATACTGTCAGAGTGTTTGTGATCTTTTTCAAATCATCCACCTCCACTGCATCAGGGAAGGAAAAGGAAAAAAAAAAGATTCCTGATCAGTGTTGTTCTTATAAGGCAGTTAAGTAACATCCACAGTCTCTAAAACTAGAAATAAGCATTAATGTAACTATGGGCAATTACTTGATTTAAATCAGCAGAACACAGAGTGGGTGGTTCTGGGCCTTACAATCCCAACAAGAATTCTAGCTGGTTCCTTGGAAGCCTGAGCCTTGTAGAAGGTAAAATTTGCAAATAAAGTTACTGAACACAAGAGTCTTACTGAAACATTTGTGCAGTAAAATATGGAGATAGTAAAACAAAGTAAAATGTATCAAAAGGAGCACTGGATTACCAATAAATGATTATGTTTGTCAATAAATGGTGCAAGAGGCTGGGAGTCCCTCCAGTTAGGAGCTCTGAATCCCTGAGATGGAAGCTGCCAGCTGGGATGATGGATGTACCCAGCTTCTCCTGGGATCAAGTTACCCCTCACTGAAGGACAACTGGGTAGAGGACAGGGAACCAGCCCAGCACTGCTCCAGCCACCAGAGCATTGGGAAAAGGAGTTTCAATTACTTCATCTCTGTATAGTTACATGCTGAATTCCAGAACAGTTAATCTGCAGTTCCAGAATTACATGAACTCGATTTTGTAGTATTTTCCCTCCAAATGAGGTACTCAAATTATCTGCCTCGGAGAATCTACTCTATAAGTATTATTCCAGAAATGGCTTCAAGAAAAACATGCAGGTTTTAGATGAGGATAAGAATTCACATTTTTTAGAGAGCTGTCTCTAACCACCGTGCGGAAAGAGCAACCCTTGCACGAGGAGAGGATCCTTAGTGGAGTTTTTGGAATGGAATCAGGCCAGTGCCTCATTTAGCACAAAGCAAAACACCAGAGCAATCCCCTCCGAGCACTGTCCCAGCACCATGTCCACCTCAGCTGCAGCACAGCTCTGCAGCACAGCTCTGCAGCACAGCTCTGCAGCACAGCTGGGGCTGGCTGCACTTACAGGAGATGCAGACGTCCCGAAGCAGCGCTTCCAAAAACCCGGCGTAATGTAAGGACTTCTCGTACTGTGTGATCTTCTCCTTCAGCAGCTTCCCAAATTCCGTGAAGTCGTCTTTTGAAGAGGGATTCATGGCATCTATTCCACAAGTGCTATTTACACCTGCAGGGACAGGCAGGGCTGTTAGAGAACATGAGCTGTGAGCCCTTAGAGGGGACCCAGCTCCCACCTCCCTGAGCTCTGCTCCCCCCTCAGCCAGGGCCCATCCCTGGCCTCACAGGAAGGAAGTTTACTGCAAAACTCAGTAATTTCATAGAATCCCTGAATGGTCTGGGTTGGAAGGGTTAAAGCCCAACCAGTGCCATCCTGGCAGGGCAGGGACACCTTCCACTGTCCCAGGTTGCTCCAAGTCCATCCAACCTGATCTTGGGCACTTCAGGGGTCCAGAGGCAGTCACAGCTTCTCTGGGCACCCTGTGCCAGGGCCTCCCCACTCTCACAAGGAACAATTCTGGCCCAATATCCCATCCATCCCTGCCCTCTGGCAGTAGGAAGCCATTCCCTCTTGTTCTGTCACTCCACGCCCTTGTCCGAAGTCTCTGTCCAACAAGTTTTGAAGCTGAGTCAAGCTCAGCAGTCTGACCCAGCTATTCCTGTTCTCTGGACAACCTGCACCAGGAAGCCCCTTTTTCCTCAAATAAACCATTCCTGCCTCAACCTCCTGAGTGCAGAACTCAGCTGGTTCTTTGCAGCTGTGCACACCCCCCAAGCTCTGTGACAGCCTCCCCTGAGCAATGAGCTGAATCATTCATTATAATTAAGGAAACTCTTCCACGTTTGAGGAACGCTGCTGTGCATCAGCATCTTTGCTACTTCTTTGTTCTCAGTGCCACAACTCCGTGTGCTGACAGCCAAACCCTGCTCATGCTTTGCAGGGTCCCAGGGGTTTATTTATTTCCTGCTGCCATAACTCACCGAAGGTTTCCTTTGCCAACTCCAGGTCTGACTCCTCTTGCAACTTCTTTAGCCGTAGTTTGTCTGCCAACTGTTCTTCTGGTGTGAGCTCCTTCTGTTCCTCGGGTGCCTCTAACTGCAGGGAGCACACAGGGAGAAGGTGGCAGTTAAAGACATCACCCTGCATCACCCACTGCTGCCTCGACTCAGGGCACGTGGAAAACCTGGAAGCCATCCCTGCAGTCTCCATAGATTGTTCATCTCACAAGAAATGGGAAGAAACACCAAACTCCCACTCCTGCCTGCTCCATCACGTGCTGCACACACAGGACCTGGGATAACACTGATCCAAGCACTGGTTCAGCTATGCAGGAATTAAAGCTCCCAGCCCCAGATGGGATCCTGTACAAAACCTAACTTAGGTTTATCAGATGAATCAAGACCTTCTCAGATCTTGCTAGACCTCCAAAAAACCAAATCAAACCCACCCTCTGAATTTTATGTGACACAGAAGAAATCAGGAGTTACCCTTTTTTTAAGCTCCTCTTGCTTTTTCTTCTGTAGCTTTTCTTTTTCTTTGATTTTTTCTGCTATTTTCTTTTTTTCTGAAACTTTCGGTTCTGTAAAGGGTGGAACAACAAACACAGCTCTCAGAAGTCTGATGATGTTTTTTCCCCCACACAACCACAAAAACACTGGAAGCCACCAAGCTCAGCTCCTGAGCACAGTTAAAAAGACATTTCTGACAGAGTTAAAGACATTTCTGTTAAACCCAGCCCCAGCCCCACTCAGGTTTGATCCTCACACACCCCAGACACAAGCAGGGTCTGTTCCCATGCTGATACAGAACCAGGGGTTATCTTAAAGCCTCACCTTGTTTTACCTCTGTCTCCTTCACCTCCTCCTCTTCCTCCTCATCATCCCAGTTATCCTGCAAAACAGTGAAGATTCTTTTACAGATATCTGGAACCTCTTCCAAAGCCCAGAGACCCACTGAGATCTGGTATCAGAGTGAGGGAGCCATGGGAGCTGTACCTCAGGGCTTTTTGGAGCTGTCCATGCTGGCTGGGGCCAGTTCTTACCATGAAAAAGGCAGGTTTTAGTCAAGAAACCAGCTTGTGTCAGTAATTACAACAGCCAGATCACAAACAGCCAACCACCACTGACACAAACAGGACTTTATTCTCATTTCTGGTGTTCTGAGAGACAGAACAGCACTGAGGGATGGGCGCAGCACGGCCCACTGGA